CTCAAATAGCACTTCAAAAGGGCCTTGTCATTAATGATAAATGAGGGGATTATGTGCATGAGATAAACATTGTGAAGATAAAATCACTTTGATATTTTATATTAAGTCCACTTTGAAATTTCAGAGTTATGTCAATATTAAGTAATTGTTGATGGTTCCTTTCTACCTTACCATTATGCCAAGGGGTATGAACACATATTTGATATATAATTCCCTTCTCTGTCTAGAAATTTATCATCTTAGTTTATCTTCTATTGTCACTTCAAATGATTTTGATCTTTTTACCAAACTGTATTTTAACAAGAGTATAGAAACTTTGCAAATTAAGATTAGTCTCAGCCTTTATTTTTATCAAATGTACTCATGTACATCTATTGTAATCATCAACAATTGAAAGAAAATATATATTTATCATATGAAATTTCATTGCATGGTTTCCAAATATCACAATGTATCAAATCAAAATATTATTTTTCCTATGTTCACTAGTACTAAATGGAGTTTATGCATTTTAGTTAAAGGGCAAAGATTACATGATTTACAATTATTATTTCTCAAGGTGAACGGAGAAAAATATGACCTACACTAATATGGATGTCAAAGGTAATAGTGCTAGAGATGAAAAAGATCACCTTGATTGGGGCTTAAGACTACACTAGAGAACTCTTGTTGAAACCTACCTTTAAGACTTTCATCATACCTAAGTTGATACAATCTATCCTTCACATCACCCACTTCAAGTGTCTTTTATGTCATAAATTCATGTATTACACAAAAGTTTAGGGAGAATATTATATGACACTTAATATCTTCAGCCGATTTCTTTGCAGATATTAAATTAAATTAAAAAATGGTATACTCAAAACATGTTGTAGAGTCAAATTTTTAGTTGTCTAGACTATTCTCACATGAGACACATTAACTTTGTTTCCATTTGGCAAAGCAATCTTAGAGGAAGTTCCTAACGTATTTTTAGTATATAAATGCAGTGCAGTTATGATATGATTTGATGCACCAGTGTCAATGATCCATAGAATATTTTGACATTTATTTGGTTTTACTACATGAATACTAATACAAAGAAACAAACAAAAAAATCAGCTACAATAGTTTCTTATGAAGAAGCTAATGATGATTTTACCTTATTTGCTGACTGTTGACTTTGTTGGAGCAATGTCATAATGTCAAAGATGACTCAAAGGAGTGTCATGCTATTTTGGAATAAGAAATAGTATTTTTCATTATTTGGGTTGGGACTTCTAATGTTTTTGTTTGTTTTTTTGACATAAAATACCAAGCCTCTATTAGTCATAATGTCTATTGAGATCAGTCACATATCTGGTTTTATTGCATGATTGCTTAGACAGGGAAACATATTAGAAAATCCAGCTATAGTAATTCCTTGTGAACAAGTTAAGGATGATTGTGCCATATATGTTGAGTGTTGACTTTGTTAGAGTAATGTCATATGTTGAGTGTATTGTCCTTGTATGAGAACACGCTACTACGTTCTGTTAGTTGGTCCAGACGAAGCAAGGGAAGAAATCTAATTAATATTTGACTTTTTAGATCCTTTTGTGTACTCTCGATACTTACAACAAGCCTATGCTCTATGTTAAGATATATTGCAATTATAGCACAAAATTTTATTGGGATTTGTTTTGACACACCTCTCTAAGGAGTTTCTTGCTATTTTGGAATAAGAATAGTAGTATTTTTCACAACTTAGATCGGGACTTCTATTGTTGTCTTTATTTGTTTCTTAGGATAAAGAGAAGAAGAAGTTGGGTGGGAAGCTCATGAGGCCGTGAAACAAGATGAAGATCACAAAGAAGATAGAGTAGTAGAAAAAGTAGGTTTGCAATCCAAATGTGTAGCACTGGCATGAAAGAGAATATAAATGACTTTTTTTAAGTTTTTACCTAAAAAGTCAAAATATAAGACTTTCACAAGTATAAAATTAAATCACTATAATTTATTAAAATTGTTCTTTCTTTTTTTTTTTTTTTTTTTTTCTTTTTTCTTTTTTCCAAACGTTGTAAGAAATATATTTTAAATATTAAGTTATTATTTTTACAATAAAAACAACACTATGTAATGCGAACCAATTGCTCATATAATATTGTTGGTTTAGGTTTCAATATACTTTTTAAGAAGAAACGATGTACTCGGTTAATTTTAATGAATTAGTTTATTATTATTTTATTAAACCTTTAATTATAAATAGAATGTAAATTAAATTAATATAATAATTAAAGGAAATAATTTAGCGTAGCAGTAGTGAGTGTCCATCAAGGTGATTCATTCGAGGCTTCCTTCTAATTATTACTCTAAAATTATTTTATGATGATTAGCAGATGGTAGAGTCTAATCTCTTCTCTCTGTGTCTCAAGAAAAAAAGTGTTTGTCTCTGTGTCTATAGGCAACTGGCTTTTTATGCTTAATTATTAATCAATATATAGGTTTAAAGTTATAAACAATAATGGCTCAACAACACCCACGTGATCAACAGAGGAGAGAAAGAAACAGCGCATTGAGTTTATTATTATAAATAATACCAGGTGTTTGTTGGCACCCATAAAATATCATGTTGCAACCACTATTTATAAACATTTTGGTTTTTCAGACCCAACATCCCATCCCATCCCATAAACTCTACGGATATAGATCTTCACAAATCTCCTCTCTATTCACATGATCGCTTTATTCATATCCAAATCAAGAGTTTTAGGGAAAGCTCTTGTAGTTTTTTAGGGAGACCAAGTTGTGGGATATGCGTCTGGATGATATTAATGATAAAAGAGTTATCAGTTTTGAGCAAGTAAAGATTTGTTGAACAAATTTAACCAAGAAGCCATAGATTTTTTTTTAGATCATAGTAAAGTTCAACATAAAAAAGTAGTGTGTATGAGACTGGAGATAAATTGAATTACATCCTATTAGGTGGTAAAATAATTTCTCCCTAATTTTCTGTGTTTTCATATCTTGTTGTAAGTATACAACAAACGATTAATCCCCGCCTTAAACAGGAAAAGCATCATGAACATCCCAAGTTATCGACCCACTTGAAAATAGATAATAAAACTGTACAGAGCCATCAAGTTTTTAAAATGTTCAGTTTCTTGATTGGAAACAATAAGCCTAAAACGACATAACTGGGAAATTAGCATAACATATTTAACCAGACCAAAAAAGAAACAATTAATAACCGAAACTAGAGCAGAGAGTATATATGTTATCAGGCAAGAACCTTCAATCAATCCTCTCCTCGTCAGCATCTCCAAGCTGAAGCTGAGATGAGCTCTTTTCGCTGCCAACAAAGAACCAGGGAAGCCTGTTTCTTCTCGATATGAAACCCTCGGATGGGTGTTCGCTGCACCAAACATTCAGCTTGTGATTCTGTGAAGTTACTGAATGTCAATGGTGAGAACCCAGATTGAATAAACAGACTCCTCCATGAAGGAGTTCTTTCCAGGCAACGGTGGCGACCTAACACGATCTTCTCGATCCCCGGTTGGACCAAAAAGCGCTCGATCTTTTGCAGGGCATCGAGGTTCATATTCACAGCATCCAGCGATTCAAGCAGGCCCCAGTAGGATTGCAGGGCATGAATGATGTGGTGAGGAAAAGGGACATCAGTCCGATCACACCCTCTGTCTAGAGTGACCATAATTTTGGGGGGAAGGTGCTTGATGAAGCGGAGGACTAATGGAAGGGAAGATGGGTAATTGCAAAATGATGCAATTGGGAGATTCACTGCAATTATCTCCCCTTCTGATACATGGAGAGGCAGAGGCCAAGAAGCAGGAGTCAAGGACTCAAGTCTCAGAATTTCAATATCAAACGCCATGTTGATTTCAGTAGCAAATCTTTTGAGATTTTCTTGAGTAAAACCAAGCTCCAGCTCCTCATGCGCTGATGGAGAAGCAAAGGCAGTGATTTTCAAAGATGGGGCACCCCCATTTCTCAATACAAGTTCCTGCATCAGAGAAGCCCATTGCCCACCATACCCAATATCAAAATCTATAATGTGGATCTTATCAAACCCTTCAAAAGCTTCTAGCAGTGCTTGATTACACGTAAAGTTAGCGAATTGAACAACTGGGGAGATCTCAGAGAAAGATTTGTAGGCGCCGATTTTGAATATGAGACTATACGAGGACAAAGCCGGTGAATTTGCAGTGTTCATGTGAATAAGTAACTGCAAGGCCTCCTTGAAATAGCAAGCAGCCCTTTGAAAAGGCTTACCTACAGGGGAGAGCTGGTGATTGAGCCGCGCCAATATCCCATGCGCGAGTACCGGGTTACCGGTTTCGATCAGCTCTGCGGCCTTGAATAGCTGGTCGATTATAGCTTGTTGAAGCTGCTGGCTTGCCAATTCGTCGCTGAGCATTCTGGGTTTCGCTGTTGCAGTGGTTGGTCTCTGTTGAAGCAACTGAAGCTGCCCTGAATCCGGAAAGGAACCCTTTGCAAGATGGTGATAGTTGGATCCAATTGAAGCAGAATGAAGCCGCTTTGGTGGTGGGGGTGACAAAGGATAATGCTCCTGTAATTGAGCGTACGATAATGGCAGAAACATAGCTGGGTTCTGCGTGAAGTGAGCTTGATTCTGATTTAGTAACATCTGGGAATTAAAAATCTGCGGCTTCTCATCCAACGTCTCAATCGGCTGTTGAAAGACGCTCTGAGGTAGAGATACAGGCAAAAGGTTGCTAATCGAGGATGACAAGACAGAATTTGAGGTTGAAATAGAAGCAAACCTGGCAGCAGACTGGTTTTGAACATCAAGATTACCAACAGGAAGGGTAGAACAAGATAGGGAAGTGTCAATGTTGGTAGCCAGATTACTGGTACAACTCAACGGAGCTTCAAATCCAATCACACCTTGATCTACAACACCAAATCCTGCATTGAATTCCAAATCCTGAGACCCACTCGCAGGCTGCAAAATCTTGTTCAATCCCACGGAAGGGTCTTCAATATCGCCCATTATAAACCTTAAAATGGATTGTTCTTGGCTAGGCGACCCGGACAAGACACTCTCCCAATCCTCCATCCCTAGGCCGCATTTTTCTGTTCCCGCGTCTACCGAGGGGTTGCCGGAGACTGAACCCGCCACAGCGGTGGTGTCGGTGGAGGCACCGCCGCTGCCACCACCGCCGTGAGAGGAAGACAGTGTGGAGGAAGAGGTTAGTGGACTTGGGCTTCTCCCGGAATCAAGCACAGACGTCGGCTCAGTACTGCCCACATAGCAGCTACCTTCTTCTTTGTTGTTTTGCCAGTTATGTTGCAGTTGTTGGGTATGGTGTGGTAACAGGGATGAATCTGAACAAGAAGATGAGGAAGACGAAGAGAAATCCAACACCCCCTTCCCTTGAAATTCCTCAAAGGGTAGGGGCATGGCCTTCATCTAAGAAAACCAAAAAGAACAAAATATCCACAAACTCAGGAACCCAAAACTCTCCAGCTCCACAAAATGAATGAAACCACCCACACCAGGTTACAATTTACAAGAAGGAAGGAAAAAAAAAAAAAAAAAAAAGAAATAAGGAGAGTCTGGAGTAAATTACTCAATAACAAGATTAAATATAAAAAAAAAAAAAGGCTGAAGGGTTAAATATAGATGCAAAATTAAAGCCAATAAAAACCCAACTCAGAGTCTCTTTTTACTCCATAATCTGTCGGGTACCTCCATACCCATTTTTGGTACAATCTTTTTCCTTGTTGTTTTTCTTTGGCTAACTTTGTAGAGTTTTCTTCTTCTTCTTCTTCTTTTCTTCTTCTTCTTAGGTCTTTGTTGTAGTACTGGGTCTTCCTTTTGTTTTCTGCTCTGGATGCGTGCAACATATAAAAGTGGTAAAGTGCCCTTCAATCTTCATCCTCTCTCTCGTTTTTCTCTGGTTTCTTTTTTATTTTTATTTTTATGTGGCTTTTGTCTGTAGACGTAGTTATCTCTCTTGTAGGGTTCCTGTCACTAATACAGCTATACAATCCCCACTTTCATTCCCACAGCGTGCGCATCACCCACCCGAATTGAAAATGACTAATCATGCAGATCAATTACAACCCTTGCCAAATTTAAAAATATTAGTTTATGGTTATTTGTCGCATAATAAATTAAAGTATTCGATTTATAATTAGCTGATAATTTTTTAATTAAACGTATAAAACCAAATAAAACACCAACATTTTTCCACGCGCCTCGCGTTGGCGTGTAAACCTGAGCGCTGTCTCGTTTATTATTATTCTTTTTTTTTTTTTTTTCAGAGACCAAGAATTCTCAGAGAGTGAGTTGGTTATTTAATAAAATTCCAATAATACCCTCAATCAATTAGAAATACCAGGGGCAGTATCGTACTTTCATTAGAACAATTCCTGCCGGACTGGTTTTCGAAACTGAGTCTGACGACACGAGATAATGAGCGTGTGGCTTCTAGGAGATGTGAAAATATCGAGACGGTTGAGATTGTTTTTCAGAATAAAATTGTGCGGCCCTGATGAAGAGTTTGTGGTTCAATAATAATAAATAGTTCATTTAGATCGGAGTCTGCAAGTAAAAGATTTACAGAAACGTCTCGTTCCAAGTAGTAAAAAGGAGATAATTACCCAATTTTGAAGTGTATGAATTTAACACACACAATAAATCTTGATTTTTGCTTCATTTGGTTTAATTTTTTTTTTTTAAAAAAATTATTTTATTCATTTTTTTTTATGTGAAATTGGTTTACAACGTTCTCCAACTCTTTTTTTTTTTTTTTTTACTTTCTTCAACTTTGCAAAAATCATATCCCCCCTAACCTAAATTATAGCAAACAATTACATAATTTTAATTAATAAGTCAATGTAAACTCTTCTCTATTTAGTCATATTTTTATCAATTATTTGGGACATGCAAATTTTTTTTTTTTTAATCATTGAAATATTTTAATTCTCTACATTTTTCTACCTTCATTACAAAAAATATATATATATATATATATTACTAACATTTTTATCATTATAAATTTAAATTGTATTTTGTCTACATAAAAATATTATAAAATAAATTAATTCTTTTTTTTTAATAAATTATTACCGAATACTATTATATATAGAAAATTTATTTCAATACTCAAATATTTTATTATAAACAAGTCATACATATATTTCCTAATAAAACTTCAAGCTAATCCATGCCTAAACCTCGCCTTCCTCACATGCTGAGTAACCTATTGCTTGTTCAAGTATCTTATTGCTAGTGACTTCTCTCATCTTTTAGTACTTTTAAGTCTTATTTTTTTTGTCTTATAACGATTTTAAATATATCTTTTATCTTATATTTTGTCATTTTGTAACTCAACATTATGTAACTATCATCTCTTGTAATAATTAGGCTATTTGTTATATATCATTACTAGTTCAATCTTCCACAAGTCCACTAAATATATTGAAGTTGACTTTCATGTAAAATCAGAAATCACATATTATAATCATTTAAATATATTTTATCTTAAATTTTTAATAATTAATCGATATTTTTACTAAATAAATAAATATTTTTTAATACATAGTCGACCTTTTAAAGATACATAAATTTTAATTAGTATAAATTTTCTACGTATCATTCTTTTAAATAAGAAATAACAGAGTCTTTCAAAGTTATATATATTTATTATTTTATTTTAGACATAAACTTCACAATTTTTATATGGTAATTGAACACTCTACTTATTTGTATCTTTAATATTTTTTTTCTAGTATTTTAGATGAATCAAAATAAATATCAACCAACGAACAAAGCATAAGCAATAATAAGATAATAATGAGGAACAAAGATTTTAATAAGTTTATGACTCTTATATATTATAAAGAATCTCCAAAAATTTATCTTTACCGTCTATTTTCTTAATTATAAAAATTAAGTCTTTAATATTTTTGATACGATATCAATTTTGAATTTTTTTTTATTAATTAGTTCAAAAATTAAACATCATTAAGTTTGGGTCACATCGTCATTAACAAGACAAAAATAATTCTTACCGAGCACTCAAATGACAAATAATAACCATAAATCATTTAAATGTTAGTTATTCTTAATATCATATAAGACTGATATAATTTTTATTACTAAATAAAATAAAATTTTGAAAAAAATTAATTATACAATTTTAAAAAGTACATGAGTAAATTTAGGATTTTGATTTATAAAGAATAATTCTTCAAAAATAGAAAATATAACCTAAAAGTATTAAAATTAATTAAAAAAATCAATAAAAATTTATCTACTAGCTATATTATTAAAGTACATACTTATAATTATTTCATATGAACAAATTTCTTCTAAATAACGTATAGTAGTTAGATTATCAATCAAATTAAGGAACCCACTGAAAATGCTAGTGAATTACAGACATATTACCTTGTTTTCCTACGTTTAACACACACACATATATATATATATATATATATTACAATTTAAAAATCTTACATTTACTTAATTTAGGAGATAAAATTTATAGGTATTATTTTAATTTAAATTGAATAGTTTAGAATATAAGTTAATATCATTTTAAATAAATTTCATAAATAAAATTTATTCTTCCTCGCATACCTCATTTTACCAACCTATATGCACTTTCAATCGTATAACTTTACCACCTGCACTTTTGTAATATCTGTAACGAGTGCATGGTCATATTCGATACACACACACACACACACACACACACACACACACACACACATATATATATATATATGACTATGTTAGAAATTGACTGCTACCCTCTTCATGCATCTAACGTGCTAAAGTGACTATATTAGTTCCATTTACTGATTTCTAACTAACAGTACTCGTTCAATTAATTAATACATGCACGAGCTATTTGAAATAGGAATTATTCTAGTAATCAAGATATAATATTGTTATACTATTTAAACTAGATGAATATATATATATATATGAATATAAATGAGTATATATCTATACATTTGGTTTTATTTTCGGGTAATTAATTTGTAATATCTCTAATGAGTACATGATCATAGTCAGTACATACATATAAATAATTGTAGGAAATGTAGGATGATTGATGTAGAAGACGTTTAATGAAAAGCATGAGGAGGGTGAAGAAGCAAAGAATAAGGATTGCCTCCCAGCAGGGCTTCTATTTAGATTGCTTTGTTTCTTAATGTATTCCATTCCATCACGTTGAAGCAATATTCAATAATTAATTAAAAAGAAAACTAAAATTTTGGGCAGTCCAAAAAACATATTATATTTAGATTGGTTTATTTTGTATGGAATTGAAATGTGTATAAAACAATATTGTAGGGTGTAACTTGCAGATATCAAATCATATAATAAAGAAGTAAAGCTTTTTAAGGTTGAATAATTTGATTTTCTTTTTTTTCACTTGAAATTTCATGTATTGCTGGATTTTGCAAAGAGATCTCACCTTTCTACTCCATAGATTTTATTACTAGTTGACTTTCATCAATAACAATTTTGGTTCGAATTTAGATCGTATATAATGAGAATAAGAATATAATACAAATGTCATAGAAATTTAAATAAAAATATACCTGGCTTTTATATAGTTTAATAATTATAACATTAACATTGGATGAAAAAATAATACAAATCTAAACCGAGTATTGAAATAGATTGATGAAAGTTATGATTTGGTTTGGTAAATCATGTGAATGGTAATGCTAGAACGGAGTTGTTGATAATTTTATATGTTCTTTTTCTTCTTTTTTCTTTTTCTTTTTCCTTGTAGCCCAAAAATGTTCTTTCCTCTTCTCTCAAGACACCCTAATAAATATACAAATCATACTTGTAATGAACAAATAAACAAACAATGAATTTTTGGTTCGTATGAAAAATGTTGGGGCCGACCCAAGTCCATCACTCACACATCCGACGCCAGTTATAAGATATTATGAAATTGCAGTTACGAAATATCAATTATTATTTTTAATATTTATCTACTACTATTCATTATAATAGATGTAACATCTTATAATATATAATTTAACTCGACATTAAAAAACTAAAGTTCTTGAAAGTTTTTAAATAAAATGACAATATCTCTTTAGAACATGTATTTTCCAGTTTAGAGTACCAACTCTTTTATAATTTTGTTTTATGTTACATCATCTAATGTTTTTTTGGTGTCTTCTATTTCATTTGTGTCATTTAGCATTTTTTTTTTTAGGAGCTCTTGTATTATCCTTTTTCCCAACCCATGATTTTTCTCATAATCTTTTGTGTCTGTCTTCTGGTGAAAATCTTGCACTTATCATCCAGTAAACTAATCAATTACTTGAAATAACCGGAAAATCATTATTGATTCCAAACATTCGCAATCCAAATATGATAGGGTAATGATAGAAAAAATTCAATCACAAACCATCATTACTATATTTGTTATTTCACATATTCTGCACAATATTTAAAAAACTCAACAAATAGTTTAAATCAAATGTTTAAGACTAAGTCTTTTTTTTTTTTTCACTTTACTCACCCAATCTTCGAAAATAATGAATTGAATAAGAGAGTTTGATCTATTAGAGATAAGCCTAAAACTAATACTCAACATACTATCATAGAAAATATTGATTTTACCATGAGGTAACTCTTATTTAGAGTTAGAGGTATGTCTTTTGGCAGGATCAACATACATAACACCTTTCAAATTAGGAATATATTAAGCTTTGTTATAAACATAAAAATTTTATATTCTTGAGATGTTAGAGTAATTACTTACAAATAAAAATGGAGTTCAATTTAATTAGTGCATATCTTCTCATATTGTTATGAACATATCTTCTTGTACCATATATGTTTCTTCCTTTCATTAGTGTAGAAGAAACTTGGATCCACTTTTAATATGAAATATTATATGAAATATGTTGTACTTAAAGTTCAATCTTTCATACCTCGCCATCATGCCCTATAACCAAAATAAGTATTAAAACTTTTCATTGCGAGAAATTTCTCAAGCTTTTTAGCTCTTAGAATAAAATAAATACAAATTCCTCAAATTTTTAGCATGCATGGATGGAAGAAGAAGCCCTATAATAAGCCTTTTTTTTTTTACTTCATCTTACATGGTAGTTCAAGAATTTTTTAACATCATCCCAGCTCCCCATGAACAACTAAATTTTATGATTGGTCATACCTATTTTCCTTTAAGCTACTCAAACTATTCTCTCTCCCTCTGTTTATCATTCCCTATCTTTTTTTATTAACCACTTATTTCACCAACTCTTTATTTATAACAAATTAGTCTTGCACCCTTATCCATGCACCAATTAGTATCCCTAACCCTAAAACTTGTGAACCCCCTACACTACTTGTATCTGTGTTAATAACTCCTCTCATGATTATCCCAATCTCCCTAGATCCCTCATCTCCCTTACTAACTTTAGTTGGCCTTCTACTATCTATATATATGAAATTAATCTGCAGGCCCAAATAGCCGGTAGCCCATATCTAATGCCCATTCATTATCCTAAAAGAATAGTTATCCAATCTTTAATAGGTCTTTTTCATAAAAGAGCCCAAATTAGTGCCCAATAGAAGTTATCCCTTTCTTTTCAGCCCTTTTATACCTTTACCCCTCTAATCAATTAACTTAGGCTCAACCTTATGCCAAGACATCCTCCTCTCCCTAGAATTACTACCAAGCAGCTAACATCATCTTCCAAAACCCAACCTAAGGCCTTTGCCACCTCTAACTTCCCTTATATTTCCCATTTACCATTACTAGGCCTCGAAGGTAAGCTAATCATTAATCACTCTTTAGTTCTAAATGAAACACAACGAAACAATAGGATAAAAATACAAAATGATACAATATGACATGGACAAGAAAAAAAGGCATGAAACAGAATATAAACGATAGAACACAAAATTAACAAACACCAAATGACACTGCAAGAAAAGTCATTACACACTAAAAATAAAATAAAATTACATAAAAGAATAAATTGTATAATAATATTTATAATTACACATTTTTATATTCAATTTTGAAAACTAAAGGAAAACTAATAATAAACAAATTACTTGACTTAAAGAGAAAAAATATATTTTTATGAGTATGACATTATTCACATAAATAAGGAACGAAACTAAGACGTGAAAACTTGCTACAAATATAAGTTATATTTAATTATCTCATAAATATTTCATTTTGCTCAAATTGATTTATAAAATATAACAACCGGAAAAAAAAGAAATAAAAAAAGAAAGAAATCAAATAAAAGGAAATAAAATGAAAAACAAAATAAAAAGAACCTTAAGGGGCAGAAGAGAAGGGTAGAGAATAAAAGAAGAAAAAGAAGAATACGAAGAAGAGGAGAGCGGCATTAGCGCGTAGAAAGGAGCGCCACAAACATCGTCACTCATTGGACATTTGGAGGTTAGAGGAATTGATTTAGGAACTGAAATTCGTGAGGACCGATCAGTTTACGGAGTTTAGTTCAAGCTTGTAAAGCAATAAGAATTAGATCAGTTTCCATTTGAGACTACATCTTTTTATAAAAATTTTGATTATTGAATTTAAAATGATTATTTAAGATTTTATAGATTACTTTCAAATTATATTTTAGTGTATATATATATTTCTAAAAAATCTACATATGAATATGGATTGCATGTGAATGACTCTATGTAATTGTATATTTAAATTGATAGGGATGCAAATATGTAGTATGTTACACACATATATGTGTAGTTAGATATGAATTTTTTTTAAAAAAAATAAGATCTTATGAATATTTGAGTTTTTAAAATTGGGATATAAAATAAAACTAACCTTTGAAAAGGAAACAACTTACCAGTTATCGTGGGAGAAAGTGCACTGACTTGGTATATAGGGTGAACCCTATTGTGGATGTGTCTTCAGTCGTACGAGATTGAGAAGTTTTATACCGAATGGGGTTGTGAGTTAGTTTAATTACCTTCATACCAGACAGAGTATTGAGACGGTCTAACCAATCGGGGTATGAGGACGGCCGATGAATTGTAAAAAAGATATTTTGCATATCCGCGTATAGCGGAGATCCCTATAAAAGCTCAGTGATACTGGTAATAGAAATGACAATATATAATGAAAACGAAAATAGTAAGTAATCATGGTTTTAGTGAAATTGTAAGAAATTCAAAGTTTCACATTTATTGAGATGTATATTGATTGTGTTTCTCATTGTGATTCTAACGATATCTTAGTATTATGTATGGATGATTGCGTGAATTGATAGTATTATTTTTTTTTTTGAAAATTAAAACTATATGAATATGTACCTGACATGGTTGATGCCATTTGTGAACAAAATAAAATTATCTTAATATGAATATAATATTATATGATGATATTTATGAATGAGAATAATATGTAACGTATTTAAATATGAACATGTTTAGAATGGGTAATGAAAAGTATGAGGTTCTTGATTGTTTTCTTAGGTTATATTTAACAATAATGATGATGAGTATGATTATTTTTTAAATTGGATTCTTTTAAATATAAAGTACTGTGTGATATGTGAAATTATTATTATGCTTTGGATGTTGGTTTAAATAAAATCTGCATTTGTTTTATAAATCTAATGTGATGGATGAATACATATATTGTTTATAGGCACTGCCTCTTTTTTTATTAAGCATGTGAATCTCACCCCAATTCACATCTCCCTTAGTGCATATTAATTCAGATCAAGAGCACGTTCAAAGTCGAAAGAAAACTCCGAATGAACATTTAGAGACTTTGGGAGTATTGCTATGAAATAAATTTAATTACATTATAGCAATATAATGTAAAGAGTTTTGGTGAGCCTCATAATTTAACGTTTCGTACATGGGATATATGATTGAATTTTAAATTTTAGAACATTGTTCCACAGATTTATTAAGTTATATGCATAAGTTAACGCTATTTTTTCTCTAGAAAAAATGGGTCGTTACATATAATATATAAATTTATCTTCATTACTACCGTTAAACATCCTTTATAATTTCAAAAGACCTAATTTCACCCATTTTCTTCTTCGCACTTTAATCTCCAAGATCTTGTACTTCTAAAGACATACATGTCAAACCCTACATTTTTATGTTTCTAACATGACCGAGTAGTTGATGTTTTGATAGCTTTTGCAATAAGAATATGATGGTATATATTTGTGACTTTTTTATCCTTCTTTTTGGTACGTGTGAGAGAGAAAGAAAAAAAAGCATATTATTTTTTTAGTTTCTTACGTGTACGGGTGATATTCTCTTGGTATCATTGTTAGTGATACTTTTCTATACTTTTATTTCGAAACAAAATAAACCCTTAACGATTAATTAAAGTTTAGAGACTCCAACAGACAATTTTTAGTGGTGTTGTTTATGATTTTTTAATTTTAAATTAAATTTTAAAAGATAAGAATACTATTAATTCCTTTTAATATACATGTCTTAATGGAAGGGAAAATGCAAAATTAAAATATCAATAGTTTTTATTTTCAATTTCCTCATGGGCCGGGCTTTTTTATCATGGGACTGGGCCACGGCCTGAACCGTCGTGAAAATTTCTTTCCCCCCCCCCCCCCCCCCCGGTTGAAAAATGTTAGCAGAATTACCCTCCAATTCCTAATAATTCATACGTGCATATATTTATCTAATATAGATTATAATTAAATAACTATTTATATATATAATAGGAGTTAACTAAAATTCTTTTCTTTTTATTTATTTAAAAAAATTTAATAGATAAGTATTATCATTTTAATCATTTTTATTTTTAAATAATAATTATTTATTATTGCTTCAAATAAAAATTTAACTAATTAATAATTATTTATATTTTTAATCAATTAAAAATTAAATTATAGAAATATATTTAAATAGATAACTATTATGAATATTATCCTTTAGTTATATTTTTATATCTAAACATTTTAAATAGATAAATATTATATATATTATAATTTTATTTTTATTTTATTTTAAAACGGCTCATTGGCATGTGGGTTTGTCGATATATATATATATATATATGTATGTAAATAAAATTGATTAATTTGTTTATGCATTGGTGTGTTCCTCCTAATATATATTTTTTTATTAAATCAATAACTGCTAAGAAAAATTTAATATAGTTTATAATTCATATTTCATGCACTGACTTACATTAAATCTAACAATAATCTTTATTATTTTAGTTTAAACAATGCAAATTCTCAATTATTTATAATTTTATTTTATATATTTGTTCAGTCTGATCATAAGTAATATATTTTTAAAGCTGAGTTATCTCTAAAGTAAATCTCCGGAAAATATTCTTCAAGTGTTTACTCTAATTCACAAAAACTATCAATTAGTTATAGATAATAACAAATGTAGCTTAAAATGTTTACTCTTAATTATTTAAGTATTTTTTATTAATAAATAATCCATAAGTCAACTTAAAATAACTTACGTCTTCTCTTCTAATTGGTCACTGTACCATTACTTTACGCTGCACACCGGAGGAAAAACCCCCGCAATACTAAAGACTGCCATCGTTGAAATTTTCAATCAACAACCGATCTTCTCGTGGCTGCTTTCCCTTTATCCGTATCTATCTTCGTATCTAATACCTTTTCCTTACTCTGCGATTCAACAGATCTTCTCGGTGAGGTACTGTTTTTTTTCTGTGTGATTACTGGTTCTTTGCTTGATTACTTCCCTATTTAATCCTTTGCACTTGTGGCGTATTCTTCAGTGGGTGTTGGCATTAGGATTTTCTGCGGCAGTAAAATATGGCCAAGAGCTCCTTCAAGATTGAGCATGATTTTGGTATGTTACTGTAGATGTTCTATGGCTAATTTTAGTTCTACTGTAATAGCATCTGATAGCTGTTTCTGATTTTCTTTTGTCCATTATTTGTCTTATTTGATCAATTATTGTGCGATCTGCAGAAAAGAGGAGTGCTGAGGCTGCCAGAATTAGGGACAAGTATCCAGATAGAATTCCAGTGAGAATTATGCTTTAACCTTCTCTCTTCCAATCCCCTTTGTTTCCTTCCTCTCTAATTCCATTGTACTTCATTATGCTTTCTTCCTAGTTTCCAATTTGCTCTTTTATGTTTCAGTTTGCTAGTTGTCAAATGTGAACATTTGGTGCAGTTTTATATACAAATTTTTTTTTTATTAATTTCTGAAAACTGGAACTCACTCATATTTGTAAATGCTCCAAGATTTGCTGTAATGATTTGTAGGTCTCCTTGCGCCCAGCAAAATAATTTGGACTTGAATGAATAGGATAAAGTTTGCCTCTGCACGGTGGCATGGCAATGTAGTTTTACCCTTTGTGCATCATTAGGTTCCTAGTGGAGAAGCTGTTATTGTGAATTAAAAGAATTTGCAGGCGGATACTGATTGCGTTGGCTTATTGTTTGTATCTTAAATCTGGTCTTTCACCTGTTTGTTTTTGGGAACTATTGATTTCATGCCATTTGATATCTTAATTAAGAACTTCTCAATTCAATAAGGCATGTCCCTCAGCTTATTGGTCTTCGACATCCTTGCTTTGATTGAGTAGGGATAATGCTCTCTTAGGGGATAGTTTCATTTTGCATCTAGTTGATTCAGTGTTGGCTCAGCTTGACCTTTGATGTGTTCTTGTGTGTGGATTTTCTTTTTGTAGGTGATTGTGGAAAAGGCGGAGAGAAGTGATATTCCTAACATCGATAAGAAGAAGTAATTATGTATTTTCATGCAGCAAATTTCCTAAAATAGAGCTTGCTTGTTAATTTTGATTTTGCTGATAGCTATGAATTCTATTCTTGTGGTTGTCTGATGTTGTCTGGTTGCTCCTATTATTAAGTTCTTATCTGCTTGGAATTTGATAAAGAAAATCCCAACAGGAACTAATCCTCCCTGTTTGTGCATCGAATACTTTGAGAGCAGTTGTACTACAAGTATCTATTTTGAGTCTTTGACATGTTTGAAAAAAATTCACAGATATCTTGTTCCGGCCGACTTGACAGTAGGTCAATTTGTCTATGTTATCCGAAAGAGAATCAAACTAAGTGCAGAAAAAGCAATCTTCATATTTGTGGACAACGTGCTTCCACCTACAGGTACTTTATTATACATTTTCATGTCTTCCATCACTAACACCCACCATCTGTGGAACACTTTTTTTTTCTTCTCCTTTTACTGCAGTAATGTTCCAATTTGCTGAAACGAACACTCATAACATTCAATTATGTTCAAGTAATCAATTATCTATATAACAGGAGCGATAATGTCAACCATCTATGATGAAAAGAAAGATGAAGATGGGTTTCTCTATGTCACGTACAGTGGGGAAAACACATTTGGGTAGGCAGTTTATGCTGCAGCTTGAGCTTACTACCAAGATATTATCATCATTTTCATATATATATATATCACTGCCTCAAGATATATAATGTTGCCCCGTCTGTATATGTATATAATTTGTATATAGCTCTGCCACAGACTGCCGTGTCAGACTGAAATAATTCAAATTTTATTAAGTATGAATTCTTGCTTTAGAGCTTGATTGATTCCTTGCTTTAGAGCTTAACTGATTCATTAATATTAGGTATGGTATGATATTGCAAGATTTATTAATGTTTAAATTTAATTATATTTGGATGATAATTTATTAATATATGATAGTAATAGTTATTTTTGTTTGAATTGACAGTATAGTATGCTTGTATATTTGAATAAAATTATTTATTTTGTTTATTTTTTATTATATATAATAATAAATAAAAAATTAAAAAAAATTAAAAAAGTATATAGTATTAAATATATAAATATATATATAATAAAATTGATATAATTAAGTATATTAGATTTATATATATAATTAAAAATATAAATATATGAATTTAATTGAATATATAAATACATATTTATATATAATAAAATAAAAAGAAAAAGAGGTGTACGGTTAGAGGTGTGCGGCTATTCTTGAATCAGTGTCGGGTAGAAGAAGAAAAAAAAAAAAATTTAGAGAAGAAGAAGAGTGAAAAGTGTAGGGAGAATGATTTAAAACGAAATGTAATTTTGTAAATAATAAAAAATATGAAGGATATAAAAAAAATTATTAAATAATTATAAAATTACCGAATTTGTAGTTTGAAAAAATAAAAAAAATTATAATTTTAAGAATCATGACTTAACAAGAAAAAAATTATATTATGTATTTAAAAGTGTAAATAAACAGAAAAAAATTATAAAAAAATTATACCATTATTATTGAATCATTCTTAATTACTTAATTGTATGTGCAAGTAATAAAAAATAATTGTTTATTTCATTATATGTGGAAAGTTTGTAATAATTTATAATAAGTTATTCAAATCAATCGAATATTTGTGTTTTTATAAATGATATTTTGAAAAAAGTTAATACAGAAAGTATATAAAACGAATAAGTACTTTATTTAAGTTTTTAAAAATAATTTAATAAAATAGAAAGTATTTTCTACTTATTTTTTAATATAACAAATTTAATTATTCTTTTAGTATTTAATTAAAAAGTAAAACAAACTATAAACTTATTTTTATAATTAATATTTGTTAATAATGTAATTATTTAACTGTTAAATTGAAATAAATTTATTTTAAATTCATTTCTTTTTAGCATTTTCAAGTACTTTCTTTATCCAAATATGTCACCATAATTGTGTGGCAGAATGATTTTAATGTTGTGGGTATTTTATTGATTTTTTAAGTTGTAATAAGCATTTTCTTATTCAAAATATTAGAATTATATAAATTATAAACTGTAAAAAGTAAAAATATAAAATTTATTTTTAAAAATCATATTTTCGATTATATATGAAAATGCCAAATGAATCGAGGGAGGCCATGTTTGATCTCATCTAACAATTTCAGCGATGCCTTGATGGTGATGCATCATAAGATGACGCTTGAAAATTCATCGAATTCATAAACTCAACCACATAATATTCTTAGTTACCATATATATAACTTATTTTATACACATGACGTGTGGGGTATAAATAATTCAGTATTATGTTTAACATGAGGCATTCTTTAATTCTAACAATTTTATTACTACTAAGTTTCCAGACCATTTTATATTTAGACTCTTGATTCAATATTACCTTACTCTGATTGAATATTAAATTGAGTTTTCACATCTCTTTCCTAAACAAAAGCATTCCTCCTTAAATCTACTTTCCGAATCCAACTAAACCTTTCCATTCTTTAAAAGCTAACACTGGACTAGATCTAATAATCCACAAGTAAAAGATTATAAGGAACTTATTACGAGGACTATTATCTCTAATCCAAACATCATTTTAAAAGTCAATACTAGCTCCACCACCTACACATAATCTAAACGAAAATCTCGATCAACGAACCTTAATTCACACCCTTCCAAGCTATTCTTAAAATACTTCTCCAAAAACCTATGAATCCCCATTGAACTCTCTTTTTTAAAAGAAACTAATGTTCATCATACTTGTCAATATCATATAAGATTTTTTTTTTTTTTTTTTTCATAATGCATCCCTTTCATTATCAAACCTATACATCCATTTATTAATCAAAACTTTATTCATTTTCTTAATGCTACTAAGCATTAATCCTCCCTCTTTTTTTTTTTTTGTTTGGATGCAAGGGGAAAGCAACAAAATAGGTGCCAAGAGTTAGGTTAAATCTTTCATAGTTAAAGAGGTAGTGCAAGATAGAAATTTGACATCCTCCCTCTCTCTTTAGTAAGCAAATTGTTTCCTAATATCTTAGGTGTGCCTCCCTATAGTCTTGAAAACTATTTAAAAAAATTTCTAATTTTTTTATTACATTAACTGACACTTATATAAGTGACATACAGAATAAAAAAATCCACTTCAACACTACCTTTTTCAGAGTAATTGTTACTCTAATTGAGAGAAACCTAACCTTCTAGGATGTTAATCTCTTTTCTATCTTATCGAATACTACTTACCACGTTAAAATATTGGAGTTAGCTCCCAAAGGGAAGCCCAAATATGTATGTGGCAAGAATCTATTTTACATTTAAGTTTTCTTGATATGATACGTAACCATTAATTATTTACACAAACTCCATAAATCTTACTTTTTAAAAAAATTAACCTTCAAACTAAACAATAAATTGAAGCATCTCAATACTCTCTTGGTATTTATAATTGGTCCATATTTACATTACAAAATAATAAAATGTCATCAACAAATTGAAGATAGTCTAACCCAATTCTTAAAAGGAAAACTTTACAATGAAATTATTATTGACAACATTATTTACAATCTTAGATAGGCCATCTGACATTAAATTAAACAAAATCAGAGACAATGGATCAGACCTCTCTTCATCCTAAACTGCCTCAAAGCGGACCAATTAATTAATATTGAGATTTGCATAGAAGAAACATTTCATTATCCATTTCACCTATTTATTCTCAAAATTCATTTCTTTCAAAACAAGTTTAAAGGACTTATAATTAATCAAGTCATAAGCTTATTTAAGGTCAATCTCCCCCCCCCCCCCCAAACATATGAATCATTTTCAAGGCAACAATATATTATTCATCAATTATCTCTCATTTACAAAAGTAAACTAAGATTCACCAACCAAACCGGCAATTATACATCTTAATCTATTTGCCAAAACTTTATATATGATTTTGTAAACAATAATAATTAAAGAAATGGGCCTAAAATCTTTTAAGTTTAAAGACACATGTTTCAAGCTTAATGGCTATCCAAATTGATATAAGGAGTTAAGGCATAAAAAAGGACCAAGTGGCTATAAAGCTAGGGTCAATATGGTAGATACTCCCATTGATGATGAAGAAATGGTAGGTGGTCTCAAAAAGCAAGAAGAAAGTGTAATAAAGATTTTTATAAGGGAAATAATTCAAGAAGAACTGTCAAAGATATTGAAAGAAAAGTCTATTTTAAATCATAATTTTGTTAGCTATGCACAAGAATTTGCAGGTGCAATTTATGATATAACTCCTAAAGATTCATGTTAGATAATAGATACAAGGGCTAGTAATCACATTTGTGTTATTAGTTCGTTATTTCGCAATCTCAATAAGATTTATAGGCCAAGTTCTGTCAATTTATCTAATGGTTCAATTTTAAATGTTGAATATCCTAGTGGCATAGTTTTGAAGAATGAATTGATTTTGAAAGGAGTGGTATTTATCATTTCTTTTCATCATAACATATTATTTGTCAACAAATTGACCAAAATAACTGGTGTCATGTTCAACCCTAATTTTTGCCTATTATAGGACCTGAAGACTAGTAGACGGTGGCTGTGAGTAGATCTTCCAACAGTCTGTACTGCCTTGATTTTACTCCCTTAAAACCAGAAAACTTAAATCAGTATGATTCTCATTCTTGTACTCCTATTTCAAATTCTCTATTGAACAATAGGGTGGTTAATAATGTGGTAGAAACCTTAACATCTTGGCATAAAAGGTTGGGGCATCCATCTTCAGTTATACTACAAAGTTACCATTTTGAGTTTAATAAAGAAGATTTATTAACTAAATCATGTGATATATGTACAAGCACAAAACATACAAGATTACTTTTTGAGAGTAGTGATAGTCAAAGTGATATATTGTTTGAGTTAATACATGTGGATGTGTGGGGTCCTTATGATCAATTGTCATCTTTTAGTGCATCCTATTTTTTGATAATTATAGAGGATAAAAGTAGGTGCACTTAGACATATCTTATGCAAGGTAAAGCACAAATAAGTTTTCTGCTTGGAAAATTTATTAAAATGGTTATGAAACAATTTAATGCCAAGTCAAGATAGTTAGAAATGTCAATCGCAGTGAGTTCTTGGCTTCTACATGTTAAAGCATTTTTATTGAGCTTGGTATAGTGCATCATAAAACCTGTCCATACACCCCATAACAGAATGGGAGAGTGGAACGAAAACATAGACAATTGTTGCAACTTGTTCGAGCTATGCTTTTTCAAGCTGCACTACCACTTACTTTTTGAGGAGAGGATCTATTATATGTTGCATACATTATCAATAAGTTATCCTTTGTAATCCTACATTGGAAGATTCAGTATGAGGTATTGTATCATAAGCCTCTAGATTATAGCAGGGTTAAAGTTTTTGGGTGCTTATGTTACTCAACAAATGCTCAACTTCAAAAGCATTTGCTCCAAGGGCATTTAAATGTATCTGTATGGGATTTATTGCAGGAAAAAATGGGTATAAGCTTTTTAATCTTAATAACGATCAGTACTTGGTTTCCAAATATGTGATTTTCTATGAAAATTAACTTCCATATGCTGCTCAAGTACAATTAGAAGCATCAACAGTTATTCCCAAATTCTAATTGCTGAAGCAGAAACTTATTAATATACCAGCGTGCGAACTAACAATATTACCAACACTAGTGCATCTTGTACGGTTGTGTCGGCTGATGTTGCAATTCTTAATTCTGCTATGCCACAACCAGAAGGAGTTACTCATTCTGATCTTGCTGCTAAGGCAGCAAATGATGAATTTCATTATCAAAGGATAAGTGTTAGGGTGA